AGAGGAAATGAAATAGAAAAAGAAATACAGGAAAAGAGAGAGAGAGAGTTAGTACCTGGCCTCACCTATGCAGCCCACCTGGTTGGCCCAGCCAACTGGCCCAGTCCACCACCGCAGCCCCCTCTGTCGCCTTCCTCCTCGCGCCAGTAGGCACGGGCGTGTGCCCGCGGTGCTCTAGCATGCGAGCGGCCACCGATGGCCACCTCCTACTTCTGCCGACGCCCTGGACGACTCCAGACGATGCCACGCACCCCCTGGAATCCTCTCGACCTCTTCCCGTGCTTCTCCCCTCCTCTGTCTTTCTCACGCGCAGCCGCCCGAACATGTCGTCGCGCCGCTCGCCGTTCCCGCGGCTACCGGCCACCCCACGCCTCACCGACGCGCCTAGAAGCTCCGCCACCTCGTCCTCGACCCCCTTGCTGAGCTACACAATGCCGGATGCCTCAAAGCGCCGCCCCCGACGCCATCTTCTTCCTCGGGTCGCTGAGATTGCCTCCGCCGCCCCGCTCGCTTCGGACCTCCTCCGAGCTCGCTGTAGCCTCTGCTGCAACCGCTGTGAGCTCACGGACCGAACCCCTCTCTCCCCGCGCTCTTTTGCTCTCTCTAGACCGTGCTACCACCAGAGCCGAGCGCTCCTCGCCGCCGTTCATGTCGCTACCGTGGCCACGGCCGTGCAAGCTTGCACCCGAGCTCACCACTGCACTCAGTACATCCCCACAAGTCGAACACGGCCACCCGCTGCTCCTCATGTCGCCTGTAACGCCATTTCGAGCAACGGCCGAACTTCGGCGGCCGCAAAAGAGCTCGCCGCCGTCAGCTCTGGCCACCCCAGTTGCTGCCGCTTGTTGCTTTGGATGCGCCACACTCCCAGGAGCCCGTAGGAGCAAACTGCGCATCGAATGGTGCCCCGTAGCGAGTGCATGGTGCACCTCCGCCGTCGGCCGTGGTCGTCGCCGGTGAAACTCCGGTGGCTGACGCGGCACGATTAGTTGGGTGTTAATCGTCTTTAGTTAGTGACATGTGCCGCTGACGGATGGGCCCCATGCCCTAATTAACCTCAGGTTTTATTTCCTGCTTAGTTTAGATTAACCTAGCGGGACCCACGCGTCAGAGTTGACCCTGCGGATGTGGTCGTTGACCTGGCCCACCGGTCAGCGAGCTAAACAACCCGGTGGCGCCAACGTGTGGCCCCCACACGTCAGGTTTGACCTGGACCGTGCCCCGTTGACCTGCTGACGCAATGCTGAAGTCATGCTGACGCGGTAAATAGTTTCTGTATTTAAGATAATTCAGAAATTCCAGAAAATTTCCTAAACTTCTAAAAATCATAGAAAATCAACTGTAACTCCAAATGAAAATATTAATATATGAAAATGATCAGAAAAATCCAATCTATCCATCTGTACCATTTTCATGCATGTTTAAACAACTTAACCTTGTTGTTTAGATCAAAACATGATTATGCACTTTATAAGTTCTTAGTTTGAATTTGAATTTGAACCTTTGGTTCAAATCAACTCAAACCTTTATGTTCTTAGCTGCATTAGCTCAAATCATAGCATATTGACATGTCATGATCATGCATCATATTATGCATTGCATTGATTGTGTTCTTTCTATGTTTGCCGGTGATTGTTTCCCCTCAGTAGACGTATGTTCCGATGATGAGTTCGATGACACCGATGAAGAGCTATATCATCTTCAGAAGTGCCAGGCAAGCAAAACCCCCTTGTTCATTCTGATACAATCCTACTCTCTTGCTCCTGGTCTCTTTTACTGTATTAGTACAATAACGATTCAACTGTTACATGCTGCAGTAGTTGAACCCCTTTTCCTCTACATGACCTGTCATTGCCATAGTAAATAGATGAAACCCACTAGCATGAGTAGGAGTTGTTTGAGCCCTGATGTGCCTACTCATTCATGCTTGTTTGTCATGCCTGCTACTGCTTAGAGTTGAGTCATGTCTGATTCATCGGGGATGGATTGGAATGGTGATGAACATGTCCTACTGCGTGTGAGCTAAGTGTGTGAACACGATTTGGTAAAGGTATCGATGAGAGGCCATGTAAGAGTACATGGTGGGTTGTTTCATTGGAACCGTCCTTAAGCACCGAGATCTGTATGTGTGATTTAAGAACCAGCTACTACCATGCATTGGGCCCGAAACCAATGGACCCTCTCGGCTTCTTAACCACCCTAGTCTTCTGTCCAGGAGTTGCAACTAGTTTCTGGTGTTTATAGGATATGTGTTGGTGGCCGTGCGTAGCGCTGACCCTAAGGGTGGGCTATGATGCGGTAGATACACCGTGGTCGGGTATGTCGGGCGCCCGTTTTGGTGTCTCAGAACCCTGAACACATCGTTCGGGGCCGTAAGTCGAAACCTCGGCCGGACTCCCTGCGGATGGAACCTGGATAGGCGATAACCTGGACTAGAGACTTGCGTGTTTAGGTAGGCCGTGGCCGACACCCTCATTGGGCTTCCGCTTGAAGGTTGCCGAGTACATCTCGTGTAAACGGCAGTAAGTTGTGAGAGCGTGTATGAAGAAGTACACCCCTGTAGGGTTAACATCATCTATTTGAATAGTCGCGTCCGCGGTAAAGGACTACTTGGTTGCCTGTACAATTCATAGACAAGTGAAAGTGGATACTCTAAAATGCGCAAGATAAGCGTGAGTGCTAGGGATGGCGTTCTAATAGGGAGACGGGAGCGGATCCATAGTGGTGTATTGTTATGGTGAATATGTGGACTCGTGTGCGCCACCTCAAAAGAGTTTAGGATAGCCACCGAGTCAAAACTGGCTTGCTGCAGTTAAACCCCACAATCCCTTTGTTGATAATGATGCATATGTAGTTAGTTCTGATGTAAGTCTTGCTGAGTACATTTGTACTCACGTTTGCTTAATTTATGTTTTGCAGAGAGACTTCAGTCTCGCTAGCAGTTCCGTGTGGTCTTCGACGTTTAGCTTGTTACCTCAACTACGATCTTGTGCCCTCGGCAGGGTCTTGTAGATAGTCAGGCCTCTCAGCCCTTTTTCATTTGTACTTGTCTGTACTCAGACAAGTTAAGCTTCTGCATATGCTTGTTGCTTGTATGCTCTGTATGTTGGGTCATGAGACCCATGTTTGTAATATCTGGCTCTTCGAAGCCTAATGAATAAATACTTGAGTTGTAGAGTTTTGCTGTGATGTCATGTTGTATTTACACATATCGGGCATATTATGTGTATGATTGAAATGCTTGGTATGTGTGGGCTCCGACAACCTAGTTGTCTATCCTTGGTAGCCTCTCTTATGGGGAAATATAGTCTGGTGCTTCCACTGAGCCTTGGTAGTCCGCTACAGCCCGGTTTACCGGAGTCCTGCTAGCCCAGTTACTACTGCTCCGGAACACTTAGACTGGCCGGCATGTGATCCACTTCGTTCATGTGTATGTCCCTTCGGGGAAATGTCACGCGGTGACTTCCGGAGTCCTGCTAGCCTGCTACAGCCCGAGTTTCCGGAGTCCTGTTAGCCCAGGTGCTACAGCCCGGATTCACACCCTGATGACCGACACGTTCGATGCTGGTTCATGTATGCCTGTCCCCGTAAGCTTGCGCCACTTTGGGTTCACGACTAGTCATGTCGACGTGATTTCTCTGTCATATGGATGCTAGCAACACTATCATATACGTGAGCCAAAAGGCGCAAACGGTCCCGGTCCATGGTAAGGCGACACCCATGAGAATACCGTGCGTGAGGCTGCAAAGTGATATGATGTGTTACAGGCTAGATCGACGTGACTTAGAATCGGGGTCCTGACACTCATTTGGCTCCTAGACTCGGGACATCAGCCCCGATATGGCCTACGAGGCTCTGGTGGATTACCTGGAGGTATGGCAGCGACTGTAAGGGGTCCAGCTTCAGGAGCACGTCCCCGACGCCATTTCTTGGGCCTGGGAACCGAACGGACAGTTCTCGAACCGATCTGCTTATGTTGCATGGTTCGTTGGTAGGGAGGTGGCACCGACGACGGACTTTTCCTAGTGATCTCGGGCTCCTCTGAAGTGACGCTTCTTCACCTGGTTGGCTATGAGAAATAGGTGCTGGACTTTGGACAGACTGGCCAGTCGCAGCCTCCCGTACCAGGATGGCTGCCCGTTCTGTGACCAGGAAGTTGAAACTATTGATCACATCTTTCTGATGTGCGTGTTCGCTAGAACGGTTTGGAGAACTCTGTGCTCGGCCTTAGGGAAGCCGCAGTGGTCCCCAATGGCCCAAGACACCCTAAAGGATTGGTGTGTAGCGAGAACGTCAGGCGTTCGTAAGCCGATGGAGTTACGGGCGCTTCATACCCTAGGGCTTTGGGAGTTGTGGAAGCACATGAATGCAATTGTTTCGACGGCGCTTCTCCATCACTACAGCTGGTAGTCGGGCGCATCGTCACGGAAGGCAAGGCTTGGCAGCAGGCGAGCTTATTGAAGGGCGAAGTGGATAGCATGCCCGAACTTCTGGTAGGGTGGGTAGGTAGTGAGTAATCCCAATCACCGCGTTTGTAGGCGGAACGGTGGATTGTAAATTTAGTGTTGTTGTTACTGTAGCGTTTAACACTCTGTAACATCAATGGCGGTTGAGGCTCCCCCTCTTTTTTATAAAAGATGATACGCACACTCGTGCGTATTCGAGAAGAACTTGGAGTAGGCCATGTGCTGGCCGCGGAGCTCGGAGAGGCCCACGGACGCCAGTGACGCGAACGACACCACCGACATCGCCGTCACGATGGCCGACGCCGGCGGCGGGTACAGCAGCGACGGCCACATCTCTCTCTCTCTCTTGTCCACTTGGCCTTGGTGTAGGAGCTAGCACTGGATCGACCCTTTTATTTAAAAAATGATTTTCGGTGTGTTCAGATTTTCTTTTCGGTGTGTTGAGATGGGAGCATGTTGAGGGGAGCAGGCGCGCCTCTCGTTTCCATCTAACTCTCGCACACCATCGGATGGCCCGGGCCCAGAGGCCCACATATGCTCTTGACTCATCAATTCGCAACCACCGCTTCGACCTCCATGTCGTCAGCGTGGCGGCGCTCGGTGAGGCGCCGCGCGCCCGTGAGCGACCGGGAGGTGGGCCGGCGGGAGCTGGGTCGTAGGGTGGAGGAGCTGGAGGAGGCGGTCGAGGGGCTTCGTGGGGAGAAGAATGCGGCGGAGACAGACGAAGCGGCGCTGTGCGCTGAGCTGAACGCGGAGCGCGGTGCGGCGGAGTCCGCGGCGCGCGAGACCATGTTGATGATCGAGCGGCTGCAGCGGGAGAAGGCGGCCGCTCTCCTGGAAGCGCGTCAGTTCCGCCGACTGGCCGAGGGACGCGTCGAGCGCGACCGGCAGCTCCACAACGAGCTCGCGTCGCTATCAGCCCTCGCCGGCGGTTACCTCGCCCTCCTTCACGCCCACGGCATCCGCCCCGCCGACGAGAACTGTTACCACGAGGAGGAGCGTCCCGGGGAACACATCGAACCGGAGGTCTACAGGGAGAGTAGCGGCGCCGGCGGCGAGAGTGGCATGAATGTCATGGTGATCAAGAAGTCGGTCCCGCCGCCTCCTGCGGAGGAGTTGGAGTACACGAAAGACATGGGGTGCGCGGCCGCGACGAAGGCTGTGGCTGTGGAGTACACGGAAGAGGAGCGCGTGGATGGTGCTCTGGAGCTGTACGCGAGGGTGGAGGCGCTGGAGGCGGACAGGGCGGCCACGCGGAGGGGGGTGGCGGCGCTGCGAGCCGAGCCAGCGCGAGTGGTGCTAGCAAGGGAGATGGCACGGCGCCTGTGCCGTGAATCCGCGGCCGTCACGATGGTGCAGAAGCCGCGTTTCTCCGTGGTCGCCATTTGCAAGGTACTTACTTACTAGCAGCGTGCATGTATCTGTTCCACGACTCAGTCTTTCTCTGACGCTATTAATATATCTCCAGTTCACAAAGTTTATTTTGTAGTAACTTCAAATTCATTTAATTTGTACAGTGTTTCTTCTCCATGATCCTAAAGAGCAAGAGATGTTTTACGGCCAGGTCCGCACAACTGGCGCTTATGTCTTTGAGTGGCAGTTTTCTCGCCATGGAACCTGGGCGAACGCTCCCTGAATCTCTCTCTCTTTTTTCTGGCAGAAAGTTCCCTGTATCACTCAGGCTGACGTTTGGCCTGTCGTCGGCGCTCGGCATGCTTCTGCTTCTGGAGAGATTCACCGCTGCACTGCACCGCCGCCGGCGATCACTGTTGGACTCATAGCAGCTGTCGATAGGTGGCTTGAATCTTTGCATAGCTTTGTCTAGTTTTTTTCCTTCAGAACATCAGGTGTCCACTGACCAGACCACACGCTCTTTTCATGACGTAACGAACTCTCCTTGCATGTTGGTTGTGAAGCTTTCCATCACGGAAGGATGTACTAACAAGAATGAGACGTCTGAAACAAGCGTGGGCTCAGCACGTCTTTTTTCACATCGCGGAAATGACCAAAGTAGTAAGCCGCGTTTATGTATAGGACGGCCGTACGTGTGTGCATATGCATGCTGCCTGCAAAATTAATTCGCACCGTTTGTTTTGGGTGGGTCAAAGGTACGCGTGTGCGTGTGCTGTGTCTCATGCATCCTCCATCATAACTCACGCCATAGGCTCCCATGACGCCACGTCTCGTGGGCAACCACCAGGGCATAAACCAACGGCCTGAGTACCAAGGAGATGCGCTTTAAATAATAGGGACTCCGGCTCCATTCATAAAATGAAATCACAATAGTTTACACATCAGCTCACTGAGAGAAACATTTTAAAAATGATTCTAAAAATAAAAATAATAGCAGGTCTCGCATAACTATGTTCGAAAAGACATCAAAGGAGACAAGAGAGGTGGGTTGTGTGGCTCAAAAGCATACCGGTGGAAGTGGTCATGGTTGACATTCCTGAGTGGTTTGCTACAGCACCAGTGTGTGACCCACTGTCTGAGCCAGCCTGAGAGCTCCGATGAGATCCATTATCCTCTACAAAAGTGTTATCACCCTTTTCAGCGTTCATAGACACCTGATTGTCAGCGGGTGGGATTGTAGGGTTAGAATCATCAACTGGTATGCCTGGGGTTCAACTTTAACTTGGATCCTGAAAAGCTTCCCATCAAACCCAAAAAATGTGTCCTCGGATATCTTGGTGTAATATTGCAAGCTATCCTGACCCTAATAGTTTCATAGAAAAAAAATTAGAAGTTGTGTTGTCAATCCATATCTAGAAGCACCCCAAAGGTGGAGATAATCTGGTCCAGGATGTGTCAGTCGCATCATTTGGGATTGAGCTTTCTCAATTTCAGCCAAATTTTGTGCGACTTGGCCTCAACTTCAATATTACTTTTTCAGACCTCTACTTTGACAGTAACATTATCCTTTTGCAACCCAAACAGGGGGGTATCAAGCAACTTCTTCAACTACTATTTCAGGAGGGAATTTGACTAAAAAAAGTCCATCTATCTAAGGCATTGATTGGCCTGGTCATGTAAATATCTGCAATTTCCTTAGACAGTTCCTCCTTGGAGATGTCACCAGACTGAATAAAGACAATGACAACATTCTTAACTGACCCCAGATGTTGAAAATTGACATCTGGAGTATCGAGGTGGTAAAAACCAAGGCCTGGAGTAGCACTGCCTACAAACCTAGCTGAAATGTGTGGTTTCTTCCCAACAGGGCATTCATCCTCTTTATGAGTGACTGTCTTGCAGATAAAATAACTTTATGGCTTCACACACTTATTCATGTGGTGCCCGGGTCTCCACAACTGAAGCACACCACATATGCATATGGCATTGTTGCTTGTGAGCTGTGTTGGGATTTCCTCATAGAGGAGAGGATGAAGCAATATAGTAGAGATAAGTATTTCTCTGAGTTAAGAGCCAAAGTTATCAATCCATTAGAAGAACCACACAGAACCTCGTTAGCGGCATATGCACACATAATATTTTTTTTTGCAAACAAGGGGGTTGTCATTCCCCTCGGCGGTTATTTGCAAGGATCAAATCTTGTAATGGTAGGCAAATAGATAAATTGCAAAATAAAATAAAGTGCAGCAAGGTATTTTTGTGTTTTTATATATAATAAAAGTAGACCCGGGGGCCATAGTTTTCACTAGAGGCTTCTCTCTAGAGCACATAACATACGGTGAGTAAACAAATTACTGTTGGGCAATTGGTATAAAAGCACGTAGTTATGATGATATTCAAGGCAATGATCATATATATAGGCATCATGTCCGAGACAAGTAGACCGACTCCTACCTGCATCTACTACTACTCTTGCACTCATTGACCGCTATCCAGCATTCATCTAGAGTACTAAGAATAAAATAGAGTAACGCCTTAAGCAAAACGACATGATGTAGACAAAGTAAACCCAAGGAATAGGAATAAATCCCATCTTTTTATCCTTAATGGCAACAATACAAATACGTTTCATGTCTCTTTCTGTCACTAGGATTGAGCACCGCAAGATTAAACCCATCACAAGACACCTCTTCCATTGCAAGATAAATCAATCGAGTTGGCCAAACCAAACAGATAGATCAGAGAGAAATATAATGCTATAATAATCATGCATAAAAGAATTAATTAATATTTATGAATAATCTGATCATAAACCCATAATTCATCGGGTCCCAACAAACACACCCCAAAAGAATATTACGTCGGATAAAACTCTAAGAACATCGAGAAGAACATTGTATAGAGAACAGGGAGAGGGAATAAGCCATTTAGATACTAGCTATGGACCCATTGGTCTGTGGTGAACTAGTCACGCATCATCGAAAGACGGCAAGGATGATGTAGAATCCCTCTATAATCGATTCCCCCTCCGGCAGTGTCGGAAAAGGCCTCCATATGGGATCGCGAAAGAACAGAAACTTGCTGCTACTTCTTGAGCTTGCATTATTATTTTTTTGAAGAGAAAAAGGGTGATGCAGCAAAGTAGAGATAAGTATTTCCCTCGGTTAAGAACCAATGTATCAATCCAGTAGGAGAAACATGCAAGTCCCCAATATATGCACCTACACAAACAATCAAACACTTGCACCCAACGCGAAAAAGGGGTTGTCAATCCCTTCATGGTCACTTGCAAAGGTGAGACCTGATAGAGATAGATATAAAAGATTACCAAAATGTAAAGTAAATAAATTGTAGCAAGGTATTTTTGGTATATATATCTGAAAATATATAAAGGAAAATAGACCCGGGGGCCATAGGTTTCACTAGAGGATTCTCTCTTGAAGGAAAATAATACGGTGGGTAAAAAAATTACTGTCAAGCAATTGATAGAAAAACGCAAAGTTATGACGATATCCAAGGCAATGATTATGAATATAGGCATCACGTCCATGTCAAGTAGACCGACTCCTGCTTGCATCTACTACTATTACTCCACACATCGACCGCTATCCAACATGCATCTAGAGTATTTAGTTCATAAAGAACAGAGTATCGCCTTAAGTAAGATGACATGATGGTGAGGGATAAACTCAAGCAATATGATGAAAACCCCATCTTTTTACCCTTGATGGCAACAATGCAATACATGTCTCTCTACCCCTAGTTTGTCACTGGGTGAAATCACACAAGATTGAACCCAAAACTAAGCACCTCTTCCATTGCAAGAAAAAACAATTTAGTTGGCCAAACCAAACTGATAATTCGAAGATAAATACAAAGACATCAAATCATGCATATAAGAATTCAGAGAAGATTCAAATAATATTCATAGATAAGCTGATCATAAATCCACAATTCATCGATCTCAACAAACACACCGCAAAAGAAGATTACATCAGATAGATCTCCAAGAACATCGAGGAGAACATGGTATTGAGAATCAAAGAGAGAGAAGAAGCCATCTAGCTACTAGCTATGAACCCGTAGTTCTGTGGTAAACTACTCACACTTCATCGGAAGGGCAATAGGGTTGATGTAGATGCCCTCCGTGACCGAATCCCCCTCCGCAGGATGCCGGAAAAGGCCCCAAGATGGGATCTCACGGGAACAGAAGGTTACGGCGGCGGAAAAGTATTTTGGTGGACGCCTCTGGTAGTTTGGAATATTTAGGAATTTATAGGCTGAAGAATATGGTTGGAGGAGCTCCGAGGGACCCACAAGGCAGGGGGCACGCCCTGCACCCTTGTCGTCGCCTCAGGACTCTTCCGACTTGGTTTCCAAGTCCTACGTGTATCCTCCGGTCCAAGAAAAATCATCATAATTTTTTTTTCTATTTGGACTCCGTTTGATATTTCTTTTCCGCAAAACTCAAAAACAAGGAAAAAACATAAACTAGCACTGGGCTCTAGGTTAATAAATTAGTCCCAAAAATAATATAAAATAGCATATTAATGGATATAAAACATCCAAAACAGATAATATAATAGCATGGAACAATAAAAAATTATAGATACATTGGAGACGTATCAAGCATCACCAAGCTTAATTCCTACTCGTCCTCAAGTTGGTAAATGATAAAAAAATAATTTTTGATGTGGAATGCTACCTAACATATTTATCCATGTAATTTTCTTAATTGTGGCATGGATCTTCAAATCCATAAGATGCAAAACAAAAGTTTAATACTGACATAAAAATAATAATCCTTCAAGCATACTAATAAAGCAATCATGTCTTCTCAAAAAAACATGGCCAAAGAAAGTTATCCCTACAAAATCATATAGTCTAGCTATGCTCCATCTTCATCACACAAAGTATTAAATCATGCAACCCCGATGACAAGCCAAGCAATTGTTTCATACTTTTAATGTTCTCAAACTTTTTCAACTTTCGCGCAATACATGAGCATGAGCCATGGATATAGCACTATAGGTGGAATAGAATAAGGTGGTTGT